TAAAAAAACCCCCTAGTCAAAACTTGAAATTATTATGTTTTAGGAAAAATTGTTTATTGTACTAAATGCAGCAAAATGTTTTTTTATATTGTTATTGTGTTTGTTTTTAATTTGAACCAAATGAAAACATATTAACAATTCATGCTGACCTGTGCTATTGACATTATTTTAACAACGAAATATTAAATGTAGACCTTTTAATTTACTTAAAAACATCTAGTTACAACAAGTTAAGAGTTTCGTTAACAAATTATAAAAGAAAAAATTTGATCAATGTAAAAAAAAAAAACTTGATTTCTCGGTTATTTAATTATAAATTTTTTCTAGTAATCTAGCTAACTTTGTGAAAAATTTTCTTTTCTTTTTAACTAAATATAACAAAGTTTTTAGCAAAAATTATAACAAATTATTTGTAATAATTAATGCTAAAAACCATGTTATATTTAGTTAAAATATATTCAGAGCTGTCCCGAAAGGAGGGGGAGGGGTGTAGGGGTAAAACCCACCTAGTTATGGACAAAGTAACCATTTTTGTTATACTTTTATTGCGTATATATATATATATATATATATATATATATATATATATATATATATATATATATATTATTTTTAAATATATAAATATATATAAATATATATATATATATATATATATATATATATATATATATATATATATATATATATATATATTATATATATATATATATATATTTAAAAATAACACGATATAATTTATTCTTGACATGTGTCCTAATTTATTATTGTTCAATAAAAACTTGGGAAAATATTAAAGATATGTAAAATATTATTATATTAGTAACAAATAATAAAAATTAAAAACTTTAAAGAGAAAACAACAGCGGACAAAAATAAACATAACAAGCCAATAAAAATAATTACAAAAATGGTAAATAACCAATCAATATAACTAAAACCAAAATGAAATTAACTGGTAGTGAGGTATCTTCCCATTTAATGCGGATCTTACCTTTAATCTATGTTTGGTTAGAGCAGTAATCAAAACCTCAAAAGAATTTCTCACAATTAAAAAGACTTTAGCAATTAATTGATGTATTTAAATGTTTATATACATGCAGGGCCGGCGCGAGTAGGTGTCACGTGGGTGGGTGCCATTACAACTTTTGCCAACTAAAAAAAAAAAAAAAACGACATTTGCCGACTGTCTAACCTATATCGAAAGGGTCGACATTTGCCGTCTAACTAGTCTAAAAGGATCCAATTTGCCGACTAAGGGTCCAGTTTGCCGACTAAAAATGACACCCCCACACCCTCCTATCGCGCCAACCTTGTATACATGGGAATATTTATCAGTATTAAGGTGCTTTTTGATCCTAGTTGCTTCTCCAATATAACTGCAGTTTTATTGCTTAAGTCTTATTTTGTTTATAAACTTTGTTGCGCTAGCTATAATACCATGACATTGCAGCCAGCTTAAGAAATGTACAACATAATTTCTTAAGCAACACGAGATTTAAGTAGCTTATAAAGTGGATCTTTTAAACAAAAAACTTTTGCATTTTTTTTATTAGTGATAAATTTTCATTTTTATTTAATTAGAGTAAATTCCAATGAGTGGAAGCTTGCAATATCTTATATTTAAGTTAATAACAAATTAGAAACAGTTGTGTTTAGAGTCAATAATTTTTTTTGGAAATTTAGTTTGTAAAACAAAAGAAAGGTTCTTTATATCTTTATTAAATCCAAGGCAAGAGTTATTAATTTTATATGTTCAATCAACAACCAACGAATATATTCGTTGGTTGTTATAAAGTCTTTCTTATAAGAAAGATTTTATAGCAAAAGGAAACAAAACTAAAAAAAAGGCTCGAAGCTTTAAAAAACTTGAATAAGAATTTTTTGATAAGTGCATCAAAAAAGACAACCTGGTTGTTTTGTTATTTTTCCATCGTAAATATTAAGAACAATTGTTAACCCATGTTTGCTCATAAAATCCAATGAAATACTTTCATTGGATTAACAGGCGCTAAAGGGAACCCATTGCAAATCATCTGCTTTATTGTAATATCTTCTTTCAAATAAAAAATGAGAACGAGAAGTCGAGATCTGAAGTAATTTTTTAAACAATTTTAGAAGGTTTTTTTTAGCAAGTTTTATTTTTAAAGAAGAAATCAATTGTAATGTGGATAGTTTCCTTAAGTAAAACTTTTGTAAATAAACTTGTAACATCATATGAAGCGATAAATATTCGCTTTAATTATTTAAATTTGCTTTCAACATTAATTCATTCTTCAACAAAAGTAAATGATTATAAAATGAAAAATTAGTTAGGTACATGTGAAGGCAATAAAAGAGAAAGATGTTTAGCAAGGTTGTAATTGTCAATAATTGTAGTCTCAATTATTAAAATTATAAGTCAAAAAGTTGGAAGAGAATTTTCTTTACTGAGTTTGTACAAACAGTTTTTATTTCTATGAGTAATTATTTTCCAGATAGGAAAGTTCATTTTTTATTTAAGGCTTTGAATCGTTATTTCGAATCGTTATTTTGAATCGTTATTTTCAGTTGAGTGTTAAGAAATTGAAAAATTCAATTGAATTAGAAATTTCGGTTTAATTCAAATTTTCTATTTATAATTATTTGAATAAAATACGTTTTAATTATAAATGCAAGTGGTAGTATTGGAAAATTAAGACCATTGTTTAATAAAGCAAGTTTATCATGTTGTGAATTTTATAAATATATTTTTTGAATTTTGGTTTTTAAATGGAAGCCAAATGAATTTTGTGTAGGAACATATTTTTATTAAGTAACACTTTGTTACTTAATAAAAGTATGTTCCTACACAAAAATTGTTATTTTTATAATTAATTTTTTAATAGTTTTAGTTTTTAGTTTTTTTTCTTGAGTTGTAATGATGAAGTCCTTCTAGTTGTTGTTTTTGTTTTTGCTGTTGTTGTTGTTTTTGTTGTTGTTATTTTTTGTTGTTGTTGTTATTATTGTTGCTATTGTTGTTGTTGTTGTTGTTGTTGTTGTTGTTGTTATTGTTATTGTTGTTGTTGTTATTTTTGTTGTTATTATTTTTTGTTGTTGTTTTTGTTGTTGTTGTTGTTGTTGTTGTTGTTGTTGAGGAAAATCTTACACGTAATAAATAAGTTTCTTGGTATACTATTAACTATTCTAACTAATCTATTTAATTTAAATGTCAGTTTCGGTTTACACTTCTTATCGCCAGTGAAAAAATTTATTTGAAAAAAAGCTTCTAAAACGGATACACTTTTTTCCAAGGAATAAATCAATGTCGTTGTGTTATAGGTTAACAAGTTTGACTAAACAGTTAAAAAAGGAGTAAAGTACTAGTTCGTGTAGATTAGTGAGAAAGCCCAGACAAGTGTTACAAAATAGGTTAATTTTTTACTTTTCAACTCTCCCATAAGCCAACCAATAATCATGTTGACCTCATAGACCATTTTAAATCTTTAAGTAAAGATGGTGTATTCAGCACTTGTAGTTTCATCTCGGTGTCTCTTGCGACCTCAGGCGTGTGATATCCATAGCATACTCTTTTTTTATCAACGCAGATTTTCGTTTTTTGCTCATATTAATCAAATTTGGACCTCATATCTTGCAAGAAAGTGAAAATAAATCTGTAAAGCTCCTCAACAACTTTCAGATCGCGAGCTGACCATCTTGTTTGCGATAAATTTTTCATGGTATACTTAGCTTTTTCAGTTTTCGTTAAAGAGTAATAAAAAAATAAAAATGACTCAACGATAAGTAGATGCAGAAAGGTATTTATAAACAAGGAGTAATACACCAAAAGATTCAACTGCTAAATATTCGCTTGCAAACCATTATAAATGCTTAATATGCTGCTTGCGTTGTCACAAAACTGTCCTCTCCAATCATGAATATCTATTCTAAGCTCCCTGAGCTTATTAATAACAATACTGCGTTGTCACAAAACTGTCCACTTCAATCATGAATAACTGTTTTAAGCTTCTCAAACTTATTAATCACATTATCCAGGATTGAGCCAGCTACATGGTTTGTTATGGAAATGAACTACAAGAAACGTTCAGCTGGAGTGCCAGACGGCAGAATGTAACAAATTACGAAATGGTATGTATTGATTTATATAAAAATAGAGTTGAATTTATCAAAAATCAATTTAATCATTAGAAAAAAAAAATTAAGCGTTTCCTGAAAAAACAGGTTTTGGGTTTGGGTAGGGTAAAATAGGTTTTTGGTTTGGGTTAGTTTGCAGAAGTAAAGGACCTGTCGAATTAATTGTTTGACAAACGAGAATTTTGAAAATTTTGGCGCAACAATTCTTAACTAAATTTGTATTTTTTGATAAATTTAAATTTCATAGTATAATCTCTCAAATTTAAAAATTATGGTCATATAAAGTTTAGAAATATTACAAAATTTAAATGGTCATATTTTTTAAATGTTAATAAATTATAGTATGAAACTTAAAATTTATCGATTAATATAAATTTAGTTAAGTGTAGGTCAAAATGTTAGGGTTTTTTTGTTCTCAGGCTTCAATCAGCGAAATTTTTTAAAAACATTCTTATTTGATATAAGTAAAAACATGTAAATGTTTGGAATTTGATCCACATCTCAAACACCAAAAAATGATGGATCCACCCCTGAGAAACTGAACATGAGTTAACTTAACATTTAAACAGTTTTACTGTCAAGTTTATTAACAATTTCCTTTAAACATTTTACAATATTAATGAAATTTTGATAGGTAAGCAATCATGGCTCTCAATAAAACATGTTTCACTAAAACTTTTTAAGCATAAAACAGAACTATCCGACTCTTGCAAAAACTTTTCTAATATCTCCCTTCTATTAATAGAATTGTTTATAAAAGTTGTGCGTTTCTTAACTATACTAAACATTTCCTTTATTTGTGGTACAGAACAATTAGAATTTAAAACTAAGTTCAGAACGTGGCTACTGCAATGTACAAAGACTGCGGATGGATGTTTTACGTGCTCCTAGACACCATTATAACAGCCAGACATAGCTGATGCGCCATCATAACCTTGACCTACTAAGTAAAAAAGGTCGAGACTATGTCCTTTCAGATTTTGAATAATTAGTTCACCTAACCTTTTACCACTAAGATCATTAGCTTTCTCAAAGTTTAACAATTCTTCTCTGATTGTATGAAAATCATTTATCAAACATACAATGCAAATGCATACACATAACTGGTCGTGATGAGAAACATCAGTCGTTTCATCTGCAATCACCAAAAAGTACTTAGCAATTTTAGCCTCTTTAATTTTTTTTTTTGTTATAATTTGAACACAAATGTTTATTAGTTCATTTTGAACTGTTTTTGAAATATATGTTGCATTTTTTCCTGAACTTTTTAAATGGTGTTCTAAAACTTTGTCTCCAGCATCGACCCGATAAGCCAACAGTGCTTTGAAGTTTCTGCTTTTATAAGTTCATCATTTGTTTAAAGACTGACATCGCCGTCATCTCATCTGCCTCGATATGCAATCCCAAGTCTACCGCAAAGCTTTAATAATCGGTTTCAATAATCGGCACCAAACGTTCGCGTGATTCTTTTACTTCCGCTTTGTACTTTTCATTTAGCATAATTTTTATATTTGTACCTAAATTCATTGATAGTAAAAAATGATCACCAAACACACCAGAATTTTTGTGATATTGGTAGCTTAAATGCTTAGTTAATTGTCCATCACTTCCTGTCAAATGACTGTATTTTCTAAGCGGTTTGTTAACTAATTGTGCCAGTTTTGTAGCCTTGCTACAAAACTATGCTATGATATTTTCACTTACTTCATTGGCAAATTAAACACAAAAAAATTTAAAGCTGGAATACTTTCCACCTGATAAGTGTTGGAGATCAAGGTATACCTTCTGTGGGTTCTTCCCACCCTTCATTGTATATGGATAATTGAAAGAAGAATCCGGCATCTAATGTTCTGTCATCAATTTCTTTTTTTCTAAATCATTGAGTTTTTTCACATATTCAATATTTCTTACGTCATCCGAAAAAACACAAGCAATATCATTACTGGTTGTTTGAGAATTATCTTTGTATGCCTCGTTATCGGTTTCTGTTAACATTGTTTGAATATGTGTACAAGTAAGAGATTGCGAGAGGACGTCGGTTGGTTCAAAAGGTTTATTAATACTGCAATCAAATACGGGAAAGCTACAGAAGTACAGAGTGTATCATTGAAACAAATAGGAGGTTTTTTAATCAAAAAATCCGTAATGAAAAACCTAGATTTCTTCAGCGGTCGTTCTTTGCTCATGGTAATCTCAATCTAGAATCGCATTTGAATAAGGTCTTGTATATATATCACTATATATATATTATTGTATATATATATATACATATATATGTATGCATATATATATAATATATATATATATATATATATAATATATATATATGCATACATATATATGTATAAATACATACAATTATATATATATATGGTGATATATATACAAGACCTTATATATAATTATTTCGATATTTCGCTGATCTATTGTGATCAGCGTCATCAGGTATAATAAATAAAATAGTTACAAAAATCTTTATAGTAAAAACAAACCGTTAAAAAGATAACATTAAAAAGCCAAAATATAATACAGAAAAAACTTTTCAAATAACTGACGTAAGAAAAATTTATTAAAAAATGGCCCCCAGGTTTTGGTTGTTACGTTATCACCGTCATCCCGATTGAGAACCACGTCACCATTTCTCAACTCCTGTTAAACCCTAGCCTTGCTTATTTCGAGTGACTCTCTGATTTTCCGAGTTCGATATTCTGAGGCTACAGATAATGTTTTGGGGTGCAACCAATCAAACTTACCATGGCATGTTTTAGAATGCTCAGTTGCACCCGAACTGGACCATTTTCCTTTTAAGCTGTTTTTTTGGTGTTGAATACATCTCGATATCACCTTCTTTTTAGTTTCGCCAATGTATATCGAACCGTATGAACATTTTAGCTGGTGTAAGCCAGGGTCTGTGTTTAGTGGTAGTTTACTTTTATTGTTGCAGAAAATATTTTTTAAACTGGGAGTTGATGTGAAAATAACCTTTATGTTTTGTATTCGAAATTCTTTACGAAGTTTTGGACCAACAATTGGTATCCAAGGTAGTTTTATAAAGGATTGGGTATCTTTTGGTTGAAATGTGGTGTGTTTTGAGCTGTTTTTTAATTAGTCTAGTAATATTATTTAGAATGTTCTTGTCGTGGCCATTTTCAACAAAGATGTCTATTAGAAAATCAATTTCTTTTTGAAGGTGTTTTTGAGAGCATTTTCTTTTAGCACGACATAAAAATCATTTGAAAACGCCAATATTAATGTTAGGATTAATGTTCGAGTTAGGTTTAAGTTGAACATTTGTAATAGCTTCTTTTCTATGTATTTGAAATTCATAAGTTCCAGAGCCTGTGTTTGTAATGTTAATATGTAATATATATATATATATATATATATATATATATATATATATATATATATATATATATATATATATATATATATATATATATATATATATATATATATATATATATATATATATATATATAATATTAGTGTTAGTAAGTTTAAGGCACACTATGACAGCTAATTTCTGTTTGACTCTTATCGATCAGTTTTTTCTTTAAAGAAATTTACTGAAGTACTGAAGTAGCTTCAACAACATTTCTTGGGTGTTCATTCCAATAATTTGCAGCTCTATTTAGTAAAATATTTTCTGTATATGCAGTTATGTATAGAAAATTCTTTAGAATATTTTAACCTATGGCCGCGAGTGCAATTTAATTTTTAGGAATAATTTTTTTAACTTTATCGTATCCTTTGAAAATTTGATACAGTTGCATTATGTCGCCTCGTTGTCTGCTTTTACCAAATAAAGTCATTCTAAGACAAGCAAGTTGATCTTCATATCATAATATACTTGTTACTAAAATGAAGAATTAATTTAGTGGCGCGACGATGTATTTATTCTAAAATGACAATATCTTGTTTTTGATAAGGAGCCCATATTGGTGCAGCAAACTTAACAAGTCAAATAAAAAAAAGATATTGAGACTTTAACAGTTCTGCATCAAATCATATAAACAATTTCCTTATTATGCCCAACATAAAATTTGCTTTGCTTGCACTTGATAATATAAAATTTTTCCACTTTAAGTTATCGGTAAAAACTACTCCTAGGTCTTTTTCTGAATCTAAAGTATTCAGTTTATAACCAAAAATTCTTTATAAACAGTGTTGTGTCCTAGTGTATTCCACTGCCGCAAACAGTAATTGACACAACCTCGGTTAACATAATTAAAAATTGTCTGAATGAATATTTAAATTGGTAAAAGAGAAGCATAAAGCATCATGTCTTTTGATATATTCTAACGTTATGCTACATGTGTGACAGATGTGCATGAGTACCAAAAACTGTCAGTACAGAGGTGTCTAATGCAGCACGTCTTCTTTAATAATTTTTAAATACAAAGTAGCAAACATTGTTTTTTTTCTTTTTCAAAACTTGCACTGTTCTAATATCCTGTTGACTTTCAGTATCTGTTAAATCTGGAGATATGTATATCCTTTTAAAAATTAAAAACAGATTAGAATCAGCTAAGTTAACTAACAATGGACCTGGTTTGTCAGAATTTTTCCTTCTTATTTGTCTCATATTCTCAAAATTTATGTCTTAAACTACAGTTTCTGGAATATTTTCAACACTTTATTTAATTTTTCAGCTATTTTCTTTTTTGTGTAATTTTTAGTTTAGTTCAATTAATTTTAAGTAACATTGATTATTTTAATTAATATAATTATTAACTCGATTTTTTTTGCATATTATTAAACAGAACTAAGTTTTGCTCAGAATAGTATAAATAGTTTTTAAATATGAACTATGAAAAAAAAAATTTTTTTTGGTCTTTTTTCGATCATCTCGAAATGATATAATATATACAATTTTTTTTTTTTGCATAGTTTGTACTCATTTTTATTTATTCTAACAAAAGTCGGGGTTAGATTCTAAAATGTGATTATAATATTGATATCTAAGATTCTAAAAAAATCATTTTATTTCTGTTTTTAACCCCATCTATTTAGTTAGTTATCAGTATAGAGTGTACTTTTTCCACATTTAAACACTGGCAAATAATATTATTACATAGCTAAGTATTAATTGCAGAGTTAAATAACAAGTTAAGTATATAGAATAATATTATTTGCCAGTATTTGAGTGTCCAAAAAGAACGCTCCTTACTAATACTTTTATATTGCTGAAAGTAAGGATTCTCCAAAAAGAACACTCCCTACTACAGCAATATGCAGCGACAGTTTTGTCGAACGCATAAGAACAACATTTAAAAAGTATTTAAAACGTAACAACCGACTGACACCTGTGACAACCGACTGACGCCTGTAACAAACGACTGACGCCTCTGTTTAATTATTTTTTTCTGATTTTTTAGTGGCGTTTATTTCAGTTTCGTATTTTAGAATTTTGTTTAAATATTTTTGCCAGATTTTTTTGTGTTGTAAGTTTCAGTATTGAGTTTAAGGCCTTTTCGAATAAAATAAATTATAATTTAATAAGTTAAGTATAGCAAATTTAACTTATTTTTTTTTTATTATTTAGGGGGTCTAAAATTTTAAACTCTATACAACACCTGACAGTTTCTTAACTTTATTTAAATATATATCATTCTTTGATGTATTGCTATTAACCTTGATTTCATTTAAATTTTATATGAATTTTGCACACTTAGGGGTTGTCCATAAATTACGTCACGCACTAGGGGAGGGGTATCCGATTTTGTGACGCAACAATTTTTTTATATAAATAATGTAAGCCTTAGTTGATGATTGTTGTTATAAATATGATAATTGTAAGTTGCTAAATAAATATATGACAGAACTGATTTTTAAATTGTAAGAACGGCTAAGAATTAACAAAATCAAATACTTTGAATATCGGACTACTTTATTTGGTCATTAGAAACAAAAAATCTATTCAAATAAACAAAACTTTGAAAAAGGAGTTGTCCACAAATTACGTCACCCAATTTTCTACCTTTTTGACCCCTTTTTCTCCAGTCAAATCATTGTAACTTTTATCACAAAAATATTATCACAAAACCACTAATCCAATCCCCCCCCTCCTCCTCCTATATTTCTAAAGCGTGACGTAATTTATCTTCCGGTTCGGATAACTCAAAGATTATTTACATTTAATGTTAGAATTATTATATTAAATAATGTAAAGGTTTATTATATTTCATGAAAAAACTCAAACCAAAAAAAAAAAAAAATTTTTTTTCCACCTATTCGAAGCAATTTTAATTCCCTAACGAGCTAATAGCTCGTTAAGGAATTGAAAATTGTTTTGAATAGGCGGAACCTTCTTAACCGGTGGCTAACTGTGTTGTAATATTTAAAACATATGCGCTTTTAAAAATCAAATTCTACCTATAATCTTCTTTACCTGTTGTTTTGTCGTAGTAATTTATTTGTTGTTTTGTCTTTCAAAATCGAATAAAGAATCTTTGTTTTTATATCTTATTTTTTACCGTTAACAATTTTTTTATAATCAAATTAAAAAATGGATCGAGGCGTTTTATACAAAGAATTATACGAAGGATTTGTAAAATCTTATGGCCATTCTAAGTCAAAACAAAACTGCCAAAAAGAAATATCATATGTAATGAAAAAAAAAAATGATGAAAAACTTCCTGAAAAAGTAAAAGAATTATTAAACACATATTCAACAAAAGCAATGAAAGTAAAAGGAAAGTTGTTTAATTACTGGTCGTCAGCTGCAACAAAATATTCAATTTCTCATGACAAAGAAAACAAATCAAATCTTGTTGAAGTTGATAAATCAAAAACTTTATTCCACGTAGCCTCTGATGAAATTGACTTTGTAGCAGAACCATCTCAAGTAACCAAACCAAGTACTGCAGATTCAATTGCGCGATGTGCTAAGACGGAGAGAAAAGTTCAAGAATCACTAAAACAAGAAATTAATTTGATTAATGGAGATTTGATTGGGTTGATGAAGAAAAAAAAATCCGGACAGTTAACAT